AATCCTCTCACCTCTGCCTCTCAAAGTGCTGGGATTACAGGCATGAGCCACCGCACCTGGTTCACAGCAGTTCTTGAGGACACAGTATCACTGTCAACTACCAGAACGGTCCAAAATGCAGTATAGTTGACCACAGCATTTAATAAAGAGATTTACCCATATTCCATTTTGTTCTCTTCCTAGCAGGCACATGGATGCACTTCTGCTACTCCCAAGTTTTCCCAAGTCATGACATCCCTGTTGCCCTGAGAGCACTGTGGCCAAGTCGGATAACACTGTGGATCCCAGCTCAGAGGCGCCCAGTAGCAAGTCCCTTGTAGCGTCCTTTTGTCTGCCTGTCCTCAGCAGAGCTGCAATTGAACTACAGCCTAGATGGGTTGGGGGCACCCCATACTGCCAGCACCCTCGCCAGCCCATCTGGGGCAAAAGTTTCTACATCTGTGAGTGAAAGAAACTAAGTTGGGGAAAATCCCAAAGCTTACACATTTTCCTTTTCCCAACTCAGAAGAAAAAGATGCTTTCATGGTGTTTTACTGGGGAGAGCCTCTGTGTACTTGAGGTTTATAATTTCTCCTTGGGTTCCTCTGATTTTACATGAACTTAAAGAGCAACATAACCCCGCAGACAAATTTGTATGGCCCTCCAGGTCTGTCCTGAAAGTGCGATCCGTTGATATGAAAAGGGGCCAATTTCTCTTCTCATTTACTTTAAGTGTGAGAAGTCACTGTGTTGAATTTGAATCACTGAAATATTGCAATTATAGGAAGAAGAGCTTGGTTCACAACGATCATTTTCCTTATTAACATCAAGAGGTCAAAATTGCATATGCCAGATATGTTTCGCCTCCTACACTGAATTCCAATGTGTCAAACTGTAGCTTTCAGCATACTCTTGAGAACCAGAACCCAATGCTTAAGCATTTAGGTTTTATGAAGCTTCAAGAGTGATAACAAGGAACCGAGCAGGCAGGAACTAAAAACCTGAGGAAAAAAACCATGGCAGGCTCACCTCCATGAGCAACAGGTCACCAAAGTCGGACATCTTAGCCTCTTTTTAAAAAATACTTTTTAAAGCATTTTTATACTTTAAAACGAAAGATTAGGAAGATACTGAGGGTCAGGTGTGGTGACTCACATCTATAATCCCAGCACTTTGGGAGGCTGAGGTGAGAGGCTCGTCTCTTGAGGACAGGAGTTCAAGACCATCCTGAGCAACAAATTTCTTAAAAAATAAATATTTGTTTTTTTAAAGAAGATACTGAGGTGATAGATGCAAGGATACAGCTAGAGATAAATACAAAAATCTTCACAACACCACTTCACTGTGGAGATTGCTTGGTACCATGAAAAGAATGGCAGCTTTAGAACTAGGCAAGCCTGAATTCAAATCTCGTTCTGTTATGCCTTAGCTGTGTGGCCTTGAGCAAATCACTTAACCTCTCTGAGCCTCATTTTTCTTGTTGTTACTACAGAGTCATTCTGAGATTAAATGTAAATAAACTATACCTTGCATATGGTAAGGATGTAATAAGTGCTGATTGTTGTGGTGGTCGTTGTTAGAATGAGACTACAGAGAAGGGAAGGAGGAAGGTATATTATCAATATGGCAAAAACCAAGCAAGATTATGTGGCCAGAGATTTGGATTCCTCATGATTGGTTTTATCTGTCTAAAATAAGTCACTATTCATTTCCAATCTGTTTACACATGTAAGCATACAGCTTCAGATTTTATGGTCTTTCTACATAGTTTTTGTTGAACTCATTCAGGACTGTTGGGTTACAACTATATCCCAGCAGGGCCTCCAAAACGTTAGGTCAGACCCGCTGAGGTGGCGTTGTGCGATCTGATGCCCCATGAAGGATGCAAAGAATGACACAGAAGTTAAATTGGAAAATACAATTTAGCTAGAAAGTAAATTAGCGAGAAAGAGAGAGAGGGGAGAGGCGATTCACCTCCCAAGGTTGGAGAGGAAGCCAAAGCTAAGAAACATGGTGGGGCAGTAGCTCAGAAAGCCGTGTGGACACACCAGAGTTTAACAATGGGATGCCGACTGGCCACTTGAAGTCAAATGCTTTAAAACCTTCCCCTTTGATGGGGGGAGGTCGTTAAGGTGATTGGGTGGTGGTTTGCTGCACATCATCACAGAGGGGACAGGTAATGCAGGTACTGCCCTCAGTGATGGAAGGCAGGCAGATGAGTGGGTTAGTCACATGATTGCTGCCATGGTGATGGGGTCTGTGTCAGAAAGGACTGATTAGGTTAACTTGTTTACAAAACAAGCTGGAGAGGGGGTTTCAAAGCAATCATCAATAGCTACTTCTGAGAAACTGGTTCCATCCTTGGCTTCTGAGGGTAAGTTAAGTGAACTGCTGGAAAAACATGACAACTAGGCAGTGTTTGGTTGTATTGACTCCATGTTATGTCCTTTCAAGAACAATGTTCTAGCCGGGCTCGGTGGCTCAGCCTGTAATCCCACGCCCTGGGAGGCTAAGGTGAGTGGATTGCCTGAGCCCGCGGGTTCGAGACCCGCCTGGGCAACTTGGCGAGACCTCATCTCTACAATAAATCAAAAAATTAGCCGGGCGTGGTAGCGTGGGCCTGTAGTTCCAGCTACTCGGAAGGGTGGGGCGGAAGGATCGCCGGAGCCCAGCAGGTCGAGGCTGCGGGGGCCCAGGAGCGGCACTCCAGTCGGGGCGACAGAGTGAGACTCCAATTCAAAAAAAAATGTTCTTTCCAAGCTGCTTGTTTTCTTTCCTTCAACGTGGTGCCTACTGACCCTCTCTCTTAACACCAAAACTCCTTTCATTCATTTCTTCCTCGTAGGGCATAAAGTGCTTTTATTGTTTTTTTTTTTAATTTTTTTAAATTTTTATTTTAAAGATGTGGGGTACAATTCAGGGTTAGGGATATAAACATTGATCATGCAGGTACCCTTGTTGAGGAGGTGTGCCCCTCCCTCCCCTAGCAGTTTCCCTCAACTGCCAATTCCACCCCCACCTCCTGACAGTTTCCCACTACTGCCATTCGCTTTCTTATAGCATTATAATTGTTCAAGGTCCCCTTATGAGTGGGAACACATGGAACTCTGTTCTTTGTTTCTGTGATAAATCACTGAGTATGATCGACTCCAAATCCATCCAAGTTGCTGCAAAGTCCGATGGAATATTGTGCAGCCATAAAGAAGTGCTTTTATTGTTAATCACTGTATGGATATTCTAGCCCAAGTGGTCAGCAGGCATCCTGCTGTAGCCTCCTCACTTGGGTCATGAGAAGCTATGATTTTTTTTTCTTTTGCTTTTCCAGGATTCACATTAGTTTCCTAAATTCCAAAAGGAAACCCTGCAACAACAACAACAACAAAAAAAAAAAACCCACAACTCTGGGTCTAAACAAATGCTCTGGTCTTTTTATTTTTTCATGGAGCTTGTGTTCAAATGAGAGCCCTCTTCTGATAGCTTTCCAGTGTGATAATCACACATCCCAAGGGAGCTGGAGGTTTTTGTGAACTTTAAAAAAAAAGTGCTTTCCAAAGAATATGATTAATATCACATTCTTAAGCAAGTAGTTTGGATACCCTTGTATCTGACACACAGGGCTGAGAAATATTAATCTATAGGCAATGCTCTTTTTTTGTGAAAGACACTATTGCTCCAGCTGTTTTTGTTATAAAGTTGGGAATTACATCACTGTTTATTCTAATTAGAAAAGACCAGAATGCTCTGTGGGTCAGAATCCCAGGGTCATAAGAGATGTTCTGTAGGTTTTCTCTATTCTTTCTCCTTGTGCCTCTCCCAGATTCTCTGAGGAGTATGTACATATTTCCATCTAAATTCCCAAAACTAGAGTTTAGCACCTATCCTTTTTTGGGGAGTGTAGGGGGCTCTATTTCTTCAGTATTCTTATTTTTCCCTGCATCCTAGATGTTTCAACTACTTGTTAAATTTAGTAGCACAGAAATAACACTATCTTTATCTTTAAATAAACCGAACCAAGATAAAGGGCTGTTGGGATGATGGAACGGCTTAAAAGCACTTTAACAAAAACTTAGGCCTTGTGATGACATGGGAAACTGATGCTTCTCTAGTTGTTGTAAGGTAATTAGAGTAAGAAGTAATCTTCTCAATTGTCCCTGGACCCTCCTTTAATAAAATAAGTAGTCCAAACCTTGCCCAACAGTCTAAATGTTATATGACATATCATTCTGCCTTCATGGAATCACTTGTCTATATTGGGTACTTTTTTCTTCTCTTACAGTTTTAGAATATTTTCTCAACCTTGTACCTTTAAGAACCACTAAGGACTTATTGTCTTACATTCCCCCCTTTAAAAAAAGAAAAGAGTTGTAATTTCCATAAGCACCAGTTTTATTGGAAAGTAATTGCCTTTAGAATATAAGTTGGGTTTTTTTCAGTTTGGTTCTTGAACTATCTACATTTGAATTGCCTAGATATCTGGGCACAGCCCAGGAATTTGCATTTTAGCAAGCTTCCAACTGGTCACTTTGCACACTAAAATGTATGATTCACTGTATTGACAGGAAACCCATGTCTATCTCTGAATGTGAAGAGCGACTTCATTCTTGGACTTTTTTTTTGTCTTGACCAGAGACAGTATCGTTTATTTTCTGCAGTAGTGTGGCATTTGTAATTTTCTTAAAACAAATAGTCTATGTCTAAGCCCACATCTAAAAACCCATAATTTTATGCGTGGGAATGAAGGAAGAAAAGGGAATACCGACTTGGGTAAGATGGTAGGGGAATCACACATTGAGGCACCTTTGCTCTGTGGTAACACAACTGAGAAGGGGGTGATCACAAAACCTTATGAAAGCACCACTCGCTGGTTAAGTCGAGAGGTGAGTGACCGTGCCATTGCCACCTCTCCCCCGTGCTGTCCATCCCACGTCACCACCACCCTCCCTCCTGATCCAAAGCCGCAAGGGGCCAGAGAGCACTTTCCTGTCACACCAGGTCTTCTACTTTCCCATTGTCTCCTGCAGATCCGTAATTTGGGACCCACTGACAGTACCGTCCAGTTCATCTTCTATCAGCCCATCATCCACCGATGGAGGGAGACGGATTTCTTTCCTTGCTCAGCAACCTGTGGAGGAGGTAATGGTGTTCGCTTAGTCTGGAAACTCTTGTCTTCAACGAGGAGATACTTGGCTGTTATTAAAGGGGAAGCTGGGCTTGGTGGCTCAGCCTGTCATCCCAGCACTTTGGGAGGCCAAGGCGAGTGGATGGCCTGAGCCTGGGGTTCAAGACCAGCCCGGGCAACTTGGGGAGACCTCGTCTCTACAATACATCAAAAATTAGCCAGGCGTGGTGGCGCGGGCCTGTAGTTCTGGCTACTTGGAAGACTGAGGCAGAAAGATCGTCAGAGCCAGCAGATCGAGGCTGCGGTGGTCGTGAGTGTGCCACTGCATTCCAGCCTGGATGACAGAGTGAGACTCTGACTCAAAAATAAATAAATTATTAATTAATTAAAAAGACACAGAGACCGGGCACCGTGGCTCCTGCCTGTAATCCTAGCACTTTGGGAGGTCGAGGCAGGAGGATGGCTTGGGCCCAAGAGTTGGAGACCAGCCTGGGCGACATAACATGGCCCCATCTCTACAAAAAATAAAAACATTAGCCAGGCATGGTGGCATGTGCCCGCAGTGCCAGCTGCTCAGGAGGCTGAGGCCAAAGGATCGCCAGAGCCCAGCAGGTCGAGGCTGCGGTGGCCGGCCGTGAGCGTGCCACTGCACTCCAGCCTGGGCGACGGAGTGAGGCTCTGACTCAAAAAAGCAAAAACAAAAATAAAAGGGGTGTCACTTCAGCCTGGAGGAAACTGGGTACTGTCAGATCCTTCCTGAACAGAGCCAGATCCGTCCTCCTGTACGGTAGACACCTCCGTCGAAATGTCCCAGGAATATTTTCTGTTTGTAGAGTTCCACCCGAGAAAACAGTCTGCTTCTTTCTTTGATTTCGTGAAAGGACAGGGCTGGAAATATCCTAATTGGGCCACAACTTGGTCCTGAGGCAGACACTTCATTCGAGTTTAAACTACTCATCGAGTTGAAGTAAAGGCATTTATTCAGGATTCAAATGAGGAGTTTTATCACATTTTCTTAATCAGAGAAAATAGTTTACTACCAGAAAAAAAAGCCACTGCACTGTAGGTTTGTTTTTCACCTCTCCCTCATCATCCCTGCATGAAAAGAAATGTCATATGCTTTACTTGTTCATTAAAATGAAGTTCTCCTGAAAAGTCACTAAATAAATTCCTCTCTGCTCCATCACAGCTGTAACGTGGACAGCATTTTGTGTTACTGGAAAAGGTTTCTTCCCCCAGTTTTCTGGTCTTCATGATCATAGTGGTTACATAATAATTGCCTTAAATTATTTCCCAATAATTTATCTTGACACTTCCCTACAGTTGATCATTAGGTCCATTTAAACTTTTCTACTTTTATAATGCCATGAATAACTTAATGCCTAAGTATTTTTCTTCTTTCAAATTATTTCCTTGAGATAAATACTCAAGAGGTTACTAGATCAAGGAATTTCAGAATTTTTGTGGCTATTGGCACATGTTACCAAATTCTTTCCAGAAGGATAACAAGCAATGCATGAATATTTTAGATTCATTGCCAACTGAGCCAGTATTTGTGGATTATCATTTTTTTAAGGTTTTTTTTTTTTTTTTTTTTTTGAGTCAAAGTCTCATTCTATCACCCAGGTTGGAATGCAGTGGCATGCTCACGGCCACCACAACCTTGACCTGCTGAGCTCAGGTGATCCTTCCACCTCAGCTTTCCAAGTAGCTGGAACTACAGGCACGCCACCACACCCGGCTTATTTTTTGATTTATTATAGAGACAAGGTCTCACCAAATTTCCCAGGCTGGTCTCAATTCCCTGAGCTCAGGCAATCCTCTCGCCTCAGCTTCCCAAAGTGCTGGGATTACAGACTTGAGCCACCGCACCCGGCCTAAAGTTTTTTTCAAAAGTTTTTCTAATTGTATGGATATAAACTGGTATGCATATTCTTTTAAAAGTTAGCACTTAAAATAAATTCTAGCTCTAGCATCATGAAAGTCACTTAATTGGGTGACTCTACGTAGCTAATCCACATAGGTATCACTAGATTAATTGGACGAGATATAAAAATGATGGTGCCTTAATATGGAATCAAATGATTGCCCATCAATTTTTGTAAAACAGATCATGTGATATAATTCATTCTTATCTATAATGTCTCTGCAAATGATGTGAACAAACCACTGAAAAAGTGACTCTATAGAAGAATGCTAGATTTTAGCTTAAAAGTCAGTAAAAAGCCATCATATGCTTTTACTCAATTGTTAAATAATTATTAGTTCAACATTTTAAGCATTTCATCGGGGTGGTTTTCTAGTTGTTCTGCCTATCATTAACAGAACATTGCTTTGTTTAAAAATAAACTGTCAACTACTTTGATGTTTCATGGGAATACATTATTTTGATATGCCTATTAATGACTAGCATAGGAAACAGTTCAAAGAAAGAAATCTAAGGAGATTTTTCTTCTTTTTAAAAAATTAAAATCAATACAAAAATCAGCCAAGCATGTGGCACATGCCCGTAGTCCCAGCTACTTGGGAGGCTGAAGCGGAAGGATCACATGAGCTTGGGAGGTTGAGCACTCCAGCCCAGACAACAGAGTGCAACTGCACTCCAGCCCGGACAACAGAGTGCAACCCTGACTCAAAAAACAAACAAACAAACAAACAAACAACCCCCCCAAAAAAAACCTAGAAACCATGCTTTGTGAAAAATAGTGACTCAATTATATGTACACAATGCCAGTTTCACACAGAGCTGCTCTTGGAGTGTCATTTCCACAACTTTAACATTGGCTTATTTATATAATGAGGTTATTAATGTTAGACTCACAAACACTCAACCCTTTTAGGCCTCATAGCTAAGTGAAGAAGTGGAACTGTCAGTGGTTTTCATATGTTTCTAGGTATCCAACCTTTCTTCAAAGGAAATCTTAAAAGGAAGCCAGGACAAAAGGAAGACTGTTCTGAATGAAGACGTGAGGGATGTGGAGCCCAGCCTCCCTCCCACTTCATGGCCCTGTTTGAAAATTACTAAAGAAATGATCTCTAAGTTCCCTTCTTAGATTCCAGATTCAACTGGCTGGCCATTTTGCTAAGTGTAAAAAAAATTGCTCTTTGAAATATCTTGTGAAACTTTAGAAAACATGACTATCTGACCATTCTGGTCATTTACTTCATTTTTGCTCTAACCTTTCATTTCACGCAACCTATTAAAACTTCAGAGCAGTAGGCTCAGGCTTACAAATTACAATTTTGAAAAAAAATCACCTCCTCAGATCTATAATTTACTTATTGTTCCCACGTTTTACTGCATGATAAATTCTGTAGTAGAAATTATTAAGTGGAAAATAATAAAATGATTAGCCTGTCATAAAATTAGCTGCTTTTGAGTGCAATAGGATTGGAAAATAAAAGTACATTAGCTTATCTAAAATATCATCTTGCTACTTGAATTTTTTTTTTTATAAAACAAAAATTAGATGGAAAATGTGTTCTTGCTCATTGCTTTCATTACTTTCCATGCTTTTCATCTTTACAGTAGAATTTTAAAAGCTCTTTTTTTAGGTCTTTAATGAACAATTAATTTTTGTGGGTGGTCTGAGAACACAGCCTCAAGCCAGGAAATCTGGCATATAAGCCTCCTTCTGATTTCCTAAAATCTTTTGTAAGTCCCTTAACAACTTAAATCTTACTTTCTAATATATAGATATAGATATAAAAAATATATATATATTTAGCAGTAACAGCACTTAGCCACCTGCCAGGGATAATATATTTGAGAGACTGGTTAGGATGAGAATAATACAAACTGGCTAATTTTTAAAAAGTTTTCTATGCATTTATTTTTTACCCCAAGAATATAAGTCTTGATCACCACCCCACCAGAAATCCACCTAACAACAAGGAAAGATAAAACTCATAAAGCAAATTAACAACACTTTTTTTTTTTTTTAACAACACTTTTTTATTTTTTTTTTCAGAAAGCAGGATTTATTGAGAGGACAGAAAAGCTCCCACTGTGGGAGGGGACCTGAAGGGGTTGCCCACTTTTTTTTTTTTTTAAAGAGGCTTCTCTGAACTGTGGAAATTTGTGGATGGAGGCTAAGAAGATAATGGCTAGAGACTTAATTTAAAGAGACATGACTAAAGATTTTGAGTAAAGAAAAAATTAAACGGTGTGTAGGGAGGCTTTTGTGTGTGTGTTTGGTTGTCTGTCTGTTTGTTTTTTTAATTCCGCAATGGAAATAGGGTTCTTGGTATCTTCCACTGAGTTCTCAGTCGTTCGTTAACTCAGCTCAACCTATTCTGGTTGAATTTAAACAAAAATGTCTCCAACCAGCTGGCGGACCTGATCCTGTGCTGTATTCTGTTGGCCCATGGTCCAAGGGGGGCAATGCTGGGATTTATTTATTTACTTATTTGGGAGTTTATTCTCACCGGTGCCCCAAGTACTAAGGAGGCAACTTAGCCTCCTTACATAAGATGCTTGCTACATAAATATTGGTGGTCTTTTTTGGATACAGAATTTTGTGTGATATTTTTAGATTCTACCAAAGAAATTTCAAAAAACAGTTTTTACCATAGAGTCTTATAATTAGCGAGCCCTTATGTAGTTCAAGCCCTACGATATAATTTAATTATTAAATTTGAGTGGATTACTTGAGAAAAACACTGTATTTGAAGTCTGCAAAAATTAATGAGCCTTCCAATTATGTGTCTTTTTTCCTGGAAATGACTGGGGCATTGGGGAATAATTTCCATTAATGTGAGCTGGCCAAAAAGCATAAAGAAATATATTGCGTTGGCATGTGTGTTTAAACTCGCCTGGATGGTTTGCTACTGCAGGTTACCAGCTGACATCGGCAGAGTGTTACGATCTTCGGAGCAACCGCGTTGTTGCTGACCAGTACTGTCACTATTACCCAGAAAACATCAAACCCAAGCCCAAGCTTCAGGAGTGCAACTTGGATCCTTGTCCAGCCAGGTCAGTCCAATGTAATCGTTCATTTATCATAAACAGACATCAAGTTGCAAATAAGCTTCTTAAATCAAACCAAAATGTTTCCACTAAAAATAAAATGAAATTTGAAATACCTAAGTGTTGCTGTCCGGTGTCCATTCCTAATCACGTGTTATTCGTGCCCACACTCCTTGCCCTTGCTGCTGTGTGAGGCCTGAGATGAGTTGACAGACTTTCCTTTTGTAAAGCCCCAGATGAAATATTCTGCAGAGCCATTTTCTCTTCTGATTTCATTCTGGTTCCTTGTTTCTTTCCTCACTAAGATCGAGACCAATGAACTACTCAGTGTTCTTAACCATGCGATGGAACAATGTTCTCAGGATTCTTTCGATTTTACTTTTGTCCGTGATCAGAGACATGATCAGAGCAGACCATATTTCTGGGCCACAGCTGATCCATTCCAGCCTGTGGGTGGTCCACACTGATTACTGAAAGTCAAAACCAGCCTTAGAAGAGTGCTGCAGCCTTTGAACAAACTCAGTTTTTTGCACAAAAGAAAGCAGAAAGTATTTCCAATAGTCAGAGTTTTCAAAGGGTTTTTTTTTTTTTCTTTTTCTTTAGGAGCTTTAAACAGACACTTGCAACTTTCACACATCATTGTTTGCTTTTTGGAAACCATAATTGGCCTTCACATTCTTGCAGGATCTAGAATCAGCTTGACAAATGAAATGTCTCAGATGATGGGTAGGCATAGAGGCGCAGGTCAAGAATCTTTCCAGGGGTATAACATTTGCTTTTGCAGTTGCAACACTTCCTGGTGATTTTCTTTAGTAACTTTGCTCACTTATCCTCCACTCATGAGAGACAATATAAGAAAATTCTTCCCCTACAAAAATAATCCCGAAGATCAAAAGGTGAAGCATCTTTTTAAACTACTTGGATATCTGACAAAGACCTCATATTTTTATATGAAACACCGCATATTTTTAAATCATAATTTACTGATTTTATATGCATAAAAAGCTTTAAATAGCTAAAATACTACATGGGTGATTTTGATGTAAATTATTCTATTTGGGGATTATAAACAATGCGATGGTTTTGTTTTCTGCTGTTAACTTTTTAAAGTTTATGTTCTCATACTCTTTCTAGCTTACATTTATGAAGTCTAAGTTCTACACGTGATGTGAAAATGCTTTTATTAATTAGCTCATAGAAACCATACTATGTACCTCTTATAAAACTAAACTTAGAATAATCGGTTTTCATTAAAGAAACAAAGAATAGATATTTTATAACTGTAAAATTTATGTGAAGTTTAATTTAGTCTCATATTACACTAGTAAATTATGTATCAAAAATTGGATAGGATATGGAAAAGAATAAGGTTTTAAAATTTTCTTTGGATTTCTTTATTTTAGAAATATTAAGAGTTTGGAGTATTTTTTAGCCAAGATAATTATAACCCATGTGATTCAATTTTATTGTAAAATTATTCTACTTACACATTTTTATGCGTACCTGTAATAGGAAGACCAGTGTGTGAAAAACATATTTAACCCAATTCATTCAGGTCAACTCAGCCACAGAAACACTTTGAGAGTCTTTTACACATTTCCATGAACATTTATATGTGTATTTCTCAGAGGAATGAGGGATTCACTTCCCACAACTTTACAAAGCTTTTCCTACTAGGAAAAAATTAAATGAAGAGATGACCAGGGAAGACAGTTGTGTGGAATAAAAAGCATTTCAATAACAATTTGAAGGAGGTGTTTATCATCAAAACATTTATTCATTCTTTCTGGCCTTCAATTTTTACCCACTCTTCTTTGCTAAAGCAACAGTTTGGACCTATTTCTTATTATCTGAAGCAATATTGAAAGAAGTCTGCCTGTGCAAGTCATGCCTTTTCTGTGTACCATCTAATATAGCACAGGAATGCATGTTGAGATATGTGGCTATGGGAAGGAACGAGGGAGGGAGGGAAGAAGGAAGGAAGGAAGGAAGGAAGGAAGGAAGGAAGGAAGGAAGGAAGGAAGGAAGGAGAGAAGGAGAGAAAAAGAGAAAAAAATTACTTAGAGACAAGTGTCAGAAAGCTGTTTTTTATTGAAGAAGTAATTAGACACAGCTGTAAAAATTAAGACTCACCATTAGTAGAGGTTTAAGAGAAAGCTGCTTTAAAAAAATGTAGATATGCAACTATGAGGGTAAATACTTCAGGAATTGCCCTGAAACTCATTGAACTCTTTTACATACTGGGATCAAAACAATGTTTCTAAATTCTAAAAGAAAATGAAAAGTGATGGTCTAAGAAAACTAGACAGAAGAGATTCTTTAAAATAAGTCTACTCTTTCATCAGACATGGCAGTATCAAACTCTCAAGGGGCTGTTTTTCTGTCTACAGATATAATGATCTAATAGTAAAATCAAGAGTGGTGAACAATGACATTAAATCATCATTTGTGACCAAAATTTAAATCTCCTAAAAGAGAAAACAGATATTCTTAGTATGTCACATATTTTTGAATTTCTAAAGAAATTTATTATATCTAGCCATTGAGATGTTTATTCATTTTTCCTGAATCACACTAGGATTTTTGGCTTATTATAGCCCTGAAAAGCAAAATCCCATTTAGATTGCCAAATCTATTCCCTTTCAAGGGTAGGAAGTATCATTGACAAAACACACTAAAATGTTGAGTCTGTAACCTTAAGCTTATTACTGTACCCTTCTGGACTTCAGTTTTCTTACTCACAAAATGGGGTAAAAGAGTTGTTTTTTGCTAAATTGGTGCTTTTCAAATTGTGCTCATAGAACCTGTAGTTCCACAGAGTTGCTTTATTAAATTTTGTTTTATCTATTTTTAAGTATTTTAAATAGCAATTCACAAAAATACATTCAAACATGCTAAACAATTAATTTTAACTGATTCAAGCTAAGTTAAATTGTAAAAATCGTGTCATTTGCTTAAGTGTTAGACCACCGAAGTAAGAACTTTGGTGCCCCCCTTTCATTAAGTTCTTCAGTTGTCTGTTTAAATGAAAAAGTAAGTATCCTAAGATTGCAAGGTAAGCTATAAAAACTGTCTCCATTAGCAACTACTTCTCCATGATAATAAGGATTTTCTCATTACTACCTAAATAAAACTAAAACAAAGCAGAAGTAAACTGGATGTGACCATCGGTAGCCATAACCCCTAATATCTACTTTTTGTGTTTGCCAAATAGCTTCCCTGTTCTCATTATTTTGCTTTGTAATCAGTAAGCTACACATTTGAGCTAATCAACTAAATTTATAAATATCATTTGGTGTCAGCTTTATATATTTTGGTCTTATACACAATATAAAGACTTTCAGTGACCAAAATGTTTCTAAATCACTGATTGTTATCATGTCTGTGGCCCCTTTCAATTTCAAACTCAATGACTGTAAATATCAGCCATTATTTTAGTTTTAGGAAGTTTACAACAGCTTCCTAAATACATGAACAATTTCTAGGAATTGTCTCAAATTAATAGAGACTGGGATTGGCACAGGTAATCAGTGGCATGGACGGGTCTTAGGAATACCTCACTCCTTACTATCTGTACTTTTTCTGGGTCTTGTTCTCTTCTTTTTATTCCTTCCTCCTTTCTTTGTTTTTCCATTTCATCTTTTGTTCCTCCTTTGTTTTTCCTCTCTCATTGTTTCTTTTCTACATTCATTAGTGACATCCACAGGATTCTATGGTGGTAGATTACATCTAGTGGTTCTTGAGGCAAAAGAGAATCTAGCCTTTTCTTTTTATGGCTTTTTCTGCTACTAAATACTAACTTAGAAATGTTGATAAGTTAAAAGGCTATAATGAAAACAATAAAACTCCCTAATGCTCCCCAATGCCCACAGAAAAATGCTGTTAATGCTTTTGCTAATTTTTTTTCCGGTCTTGTCTATAGCTCATAACATAGTTGAGATCATACTCTATACAGTAGACACTTGGAATTAAGTAATTGAGCATTGTGGGTTTCTCTTCTTCTAAAAGTAAGCCTGCATGTCTATGATACATAGTAACTTGACATTTTGCTGAGGCAGGAATTTAAGTCACTTGTGCTATAAGACCAACAATAGAGCCTAGTTGTCTGCCCTGCAGATTCATCCTAAGAGGGTTTTGTTGCTCTCTTGCTGGTGTAATTTATGCAGTCATTTTTCTGAAGTGATAAAATACTTTGTCCCCTGGCCAAAAGTGGTCTCAAAAAGGGAGCCAAAACTTAATGCTTATAAGGGAAGTAAAGAGAAAATGAAATATAAAGATTTAATGAGTTTTAGCTAAAGTTAATAAAGTTTTTTTATTGGTGACTCAGAGATATGACATCACTAAGCCCAACGTATGTCCTATACACAGTATATCACATGTTCTGGTGGTAGTCCCAAGTGGGCATTCCTAGAAGTCCAGGAACGTTCCACTCTTGTATGTCAGGGATATACTCCATACTTATTTTCTGCTTCATACGTTTAACACTATGGTTTGAGCTCATTCTCATATGACTAAGACATTTGGGATCTAATCAAATGTAAAATCCTCTCTTGTGCCTGCCACGCTATATTTATAGCTCTGTCTTATAGCAGGGGAAAGTTTTTTGGAATTTGTGTGGTGGTTTGTGCCATTTTTATCTTTTGTGTGAAGGGTCAAATCCATCATGTGGCCAGAAAGCCTCAAAGTATATGCCTATAGTTCAGAACAACTAAAACAGCATAGTTTTAATTCAGCTAATAAGCACCTTAGTGTTTTCAGAGCAGCATTAGATGTAAAATATGTATTTGGCCTTACATATCTTAGTCTGTGAGACAGTAAGATTGTTAAGGCTGTCTGGGGGAAATTGTGCAAGACACTGTGAGACGATCAGAGAACCACCTTTCAGATTTTTCTTTTTTTTTTTTTTTGGCACAGACCTCTAGCTTTCCCTCCAAGGCAGTAATGATGGGGCTTAAATTGGCAAGGGGTAGACAAGTGAAAAAAGCTCTCACTCATCACACTATCAT